GAAAGGATTGCGCGAGCGGAGCGGCAGCAACCCGGGGCGACCGCGCGAGCGCGGCATCGCCGCATCGCAGGTGGAGCGCGGGCTGGCTCGAACTCGGGCTGGCTCGGACTACACGTTTCGGGTCAAACGGGTTGACCCGGCAACCCGTCGGGTCAACCCGAACCCGACCCGTTTTTCAAACGGGTCGATTTCTGGAACCCGAACCCGACCCGTTTTGCATTCGGGTCGGGTATAACCCGGATTTTTCGAGTCGGGTTCGAGTCGGGTTTTCGTGTCGTGTCAAATATTGACACCCCTAGCCCAAATCAAATACTTGGAAGTATAATTAAAAACTTCAAATATCAATTGGAAGGCTAAATGATCTTCAAAATTGATATGCTTGTAGTCGAATCGAGCAGCTTGACGAAACGAATCCAACTATCCCAAAAGATTGATCAATTCCAATCTCATTTGGGCACTTATATGCTAAATAAAAACTTATTGGTCAAGCGAAAAAATATTGATCATATGATAGTGTGTTTTGATATTCTAGTTCAAATTATTAAAATGCACAAACCTTAAAGGCCTATATATGGAGCTTCATTCTCTACATGAGGAGGGGCCCAAAGAGCTAAGAGAACTAAAAAAATCTCTAGCATTTTCTAGCTATCATCACCGACGATCACACCAGCTATCGCCATCAATGACCACTATAAAAAAAAACGCTCATTACACACGTTGAGATCTGCTAGGGCTTTTTCCCTAGCCTTCTCCGGTGATTTCCTTGCCATGGTGGCGACGTCTTTCTCTTTCCTTCAGAGAAGTTCCTATTTCTCAGATTTTTTATTTTGGGATTTTGTAGTTTTTGGTTCTGTCCGGTGCTTGTCGGCATGCCGCCGAAGTTATGTGACCCTGATTTTTTAGGGATTTCTTCATCTTCTCGTTCATTTTTTGGATGTACTTGCGGGTAAGCAAGATGATCCCATTTTTTCAGAGCTTAAGGTTTCTTCCTTTCGTGGAATTCCCTCTCTTTAGATTTTAGAACAAGAAAACGCTGCGCTGGCCGCGCCTTTCCAATTCTCTCTGGTCGAATTTTTTTGTTCGAATCGTCCTTCTTTGGACTCTATTCGACGGTTTTTCTTCAATCTAAAATTGAATGGTGAATTTTCTGTTACGTTGTTGGACCCGTCTCATATCCTCATTAAGCTCAAAATTGATCTTGATTATTGTCGAGCCTTTTTCCATGGATCTTACTTAGATTATAACTGCTTTATGAAACTCGCCAAATGGCTGCCCTCTGTGGACATTGGGGTGGAGTCGTCGGTTGTACCAATTTGGGCGTCTTTCCCTCTGCTGCACACCCATCTCTGCTCTCCACACATACTTCATGGCTTAGGTTTAGTCTTTGGAAAGCCCCTTAAAATCGATAATGCTATTGCTATTGGGTCTAGGCCATCTCTTGCTCGTGTGTTAGTGGAAAAAAATGTTTCTAAATTCTATCCCAATCATGTCTGGTTAGGCCCTGAATCTTCTGGGTATGTTCAGCATGTTGTTATGGAGGATTTCCCTTCTTTTTGTTCTTCGTGTAAAAAATTTGGGCATTTTTCGAATAATTGTCATCCTGAGGTTGGTTTATCTGTGCCGTCTAAGGTTGCTAAGAAGGATTCTATTGTCTCTGATCCAATTCTCCCTTCTTCTAATGTTGAGGTTGTGCAAGTTATTTATGTTGAACCCATTCTTCCAACTTCGGCTTTGGGTGCGCAGCCTGTGGTTTAGTTGGTTGATTTGGATACCCCTTAAGCTATTTTAGCGATTGAGAATGTGGAAATTGATGTGGAAAATAATGTGAACCTTTCGGGTGGTAAGGATGATGGTAGTGATGGTGTTGCTGTTTTGTCCCCCGATGCTTTACCCTTTCTCCCTCAAGGTTCCATTTCGGGTACTTTAGATCCCTTTGTGGTCTCCCCTAGAACTTGTCTCAGTGCTGATAATCATGGTGGTGTTGATCACATGTTGTCGGTGGTGTATGCCCCAGCTATTTTGGGTGAAATTTCTTTTAAGCCTGTTGTTTTGGATTGCCCTCATGAGGTTGCTGCTCTTCCGTCTGAAAATTTGGGTGCGGGGGTTTGTGAGGTGTCTACTAACTCCAGTTCGCATCCAGTCATGGTCGACTGTTTCGTTAACAACAATTTTGTGGATGTACCTGTTACGTTAATTGATCCTCAAAATTTAGTGTATCATGTGGGGGACAATTCGGGATTGGATGTTCGTGTGCAATTGGATTGACAACAAGACTCGTCTTATTCTGATTCTGATTCTGTTTCTTTCGAATCGTCTGGAGATTAGGATCCGGGCAATTCTTTTGCCTTGTTGCGAGATAAACCTCTTGTATCTGTTACCTCTCGTGGTAGGGCTCGTGGAAGGGGTAGACGTGGTCGGTGATGGTGTACTTGGTTTTCTTTTTTGGGTGGCCTTTTGGTTGGTTGGACATGGGTTCTTTTCTTTGGGCTGGTTGGGTGATCCTTTTGGTGATGGTGTGTGCACTCGTTTTGGCACTTTCAGTGGGCTTAGGTGCTTTTGGAGATCTCAGGTTTTTTTTTTCGTTGTTTGTTGCTGGGCAATGATGTGGCTGGTGCTCGCTTATCCGTCAGCTTGGCTCGTGGCAACCTTGGTGTTCTTCTCGTTAGGATGGCTGCTTCGTTTTTTTGGTCCATCAATTGGACGGTCCGAGCTTGTCTTATGGGAAGCTGGTAGTCTCGGCCTTCTACTGAGCCCTCGGGGTTGTTTTTCGTTCCTCTTGTTTTTGTATTTGCTTTTTTGATCTTGTAACCACTCTCTTTTATGGAATGAAATGTTTTTTTTTTTTTTTTGTTATAAAAAAAACGCTCATTTCTGCTGGCCATATTCATCGAAAAATTAAATTTTAGGAGGATTTCCGACAGAAAATTTTTCATGGGTAAAACATCTTTTAGAAGACAAATTCCCACGGAAATTTTCTATTAGAAAATTTTTTTAAAAAAAATTACTTCGCTTATGGCGTGCTCCAGCAGCCCGGCTACGGGCTCACTCGCCCAGGCAGCCAGGCTTGGCTGCGGCCTCTCGCCCAGCACGTGCACTCGGTCGCTAACAAAAAGGTGTAAAAATTGTCAGTTTGTTTCTTATTTAAAGTAGATTATTAGTTTTTTTTATTCTTTTTTACTTTTTCATAATATTAGTTAAGTTTAACATAGTTAATCAGTTAATAAGATAATTACTTAAATTAATTAATTATTTTTAATTAGTTGATAAAATAATTAGTAAAATTAGATAACTAATTAATTAATTTAATTAATTAGTTAAATTTTAATAACATCTTATTATATTCTATTTAATATGTTTTTCTAAAATCCACCCTAAACCTTAAAATTCTTGCAAAATTTCTTGCGAAAATTTCACCGCAAACTCCGATGGAAAATTTCCATAAGAAAATTAGTGAAGATATTTTAAATCCTATAATAAAATATAAAATATCACTTAAAGATGAAAATGACAATTATAATAACATTTGTTGCGGACTACAATAAACACGGCGATAGAGTTAGAAAATTTTCGTCTCAGCGTTGTATGGATATCTAGCACACAAACATATGAGAAATGATAACACATGGATTTTTACATGGAAAATCCTAAAAGGGGAAAAACCATGGGGTCACGCCCAGTTGTAAGAGTTTTACTAGTGTTTGCTTGAAATACAAGAGGTTGACTTGTCCTTAAAATTTAGGATGATCAGATTATAATGAATCACTTATGGAATAAAAATCAGTTACAACGTCGGGCTGAGTTCCGACGACACTTGGAGATCGGGTGGAATTTCGGAGTCGCTCAAATGTTAGGCAGAATTCCGACGACATTTGGGCAGAATTTTGGCGTCACTTGAGCGTCGGGAAGAATTCCGGATTCACTCGGGTGTCGAGCAGAATTCCGGTTGTGGTCGTGGAGGAGTTTCTTCCCTTCAATTATTCTCTTCTTCATCTTTTTGATTGGGTCCCCCCTAAAGAGAAATGAGTGGTCTATTTATAGATATTATGGAAGTGACATGACTTGTAAATAGGTGAGAGATCAGGGGTAAATAGGGAGTGATCGGATGGACGGCCGATATTGAATCCCTTGATTGTGTATCGTACGTCGGGTATTTGAAGGTCTTAATAATGTCGGAATTCGGTGATCTTGGGCTCATTGGATTCGTCTCGTCGAGCCGTTCGATTCAATTATAAGAATGTCATATTTGGAAATCGTTTGGTAACTCAAATTGAGGTTTGATCTTTTCAATAGCGCTTCAGGTGCTTGATTTGGACTCAATTGGACTCGGATTGAGTCGATTTTGGTGTCGTTGAGTTTGTATTTCGAGACGCTCAGTTTGACTATAAGTTCGCTAAAATCAAAGTTCAGGTGATCGCGAAATTTAATTTTTGAAGTTTTCTGCTTGATTTTGCCTCGAGATTCATGCTCAATCAAGATAATTTTTTGATGATATATCAACATTATTTATCACACACACATCATATACATAAGACTCGAACTCAAGACCTCTTGGTTGGTAACCAAAACTCCCAACCAATAGACCAAGATGAGCTACATACTTTGTTGGTTATGCCATGTGATAATGATAGATCTTTTCAATTAAGTTCAGTGTGAGATGGAATAAATTTTGGGTTAAATACAGCCATTATTTGTGAGCACAATATATAGGGCCTTCCAAGAAAATGGAGGGAAAATGAAAGACTTTAAATTTCACAATATATATGTTGAGGACTTTTTTTTTTTTTTTTGCTCATAAATGTTCTAACCATTGATGTTTGGCACTCACCTCAATTTATGATTCCCCTTCTTCTAAGGACAACGATTAAGACAATTGCTTCCTAATGGCTAATATTTGTCAACAGTCTAGGCTTGATAAGTTATCAAAAATTTATCTTAATCAGGCATGAATCTCAAGGCAAAATCAAGTTAGAAACTTCCAAAATTAAATCAAGGAACATCCGAACTCTAATTTCAACGAACTTACAGTCGAATAGAACATCTCGAAAATACGAACCCAACAATACCAAATTCAACTCAATCTGAGCACAAATGAATTCAGACCAAAGATCTGAAACGCATTTGAAAAGTTCAAACCATAAATTCAATGACCATACGAACACAATTTCCATCATGTAATACATTTTATATAATGTATATTTGCTACATCAAGCCAAGACCTTCCCTCCAAGGAAATACCTCATTTGTAATCGACTACAAACACTAGTAGATTCATTCAAATTAGGTCAGGCCCGATGATTTTTCCCCCTTCTCAAGGGTTTTCACGTAAAAATAGTGGTATCTCTTATGAAGACTACACCCCTCTATTTTATCTGATTGTATGATGGATCTTCGTAAAAAACTAAGACATTAAACTTCATACTTCTCTATCACCGCGAATATTCTAGGACGCAATAAGACTAATATTTATCAATAGTAGAGATCAACAAACAACAAATACTTAGCATCAACCAACCATCACTGATCAATGTTTGATGTTTGGTTTCCAAGTCTCCTCATTATTCTTATTATAAAGATGACAACCAAGTTAATCACCATCAAAAGCATGTAATCAATCTTCCTAAAATCAGCCATCAACCAACATCACCTAACATCCATTGTTATCCAATGCTAGCTTGTTGACATCCAACTCCTACTGCTTCCAATGTCTTCTATCAATGCTCAACATCCTTCCTCAACAAAATCAACCTATGATACCAAAATTTGCTAACCAACATCACATAATGTTTGCAATTGATCGATATTTGCCAAAAAACTAATTCCTAATGTTTGTCATCACACAGCCAATCTACAACACCTAACATTTGGTGATAACCGTAACCCGAAGTCCACAACTGATCAGAGCATCCACCAGTAAAAAACATGTCCATGAACATTGCCCAAATTTTCAAATAAATAACAATACTTGATATATACTAAAAAAATGATCGGGCACAAATTTCAAGGCAAAATCAATTTGGAAAAATCAATAATTAATTGGGAAACCTTTTGAACTCCCATTTTAGTAAACTTATAGTCAAATTGAACGTCTCAAAAATACGAACCCAATGTCGGACTTCCGTCAGTCTCCGGACTTCTGCCCGTCGCCGGACTTTCGTCGGTAGGGCTTCTACCTGACGTCGAACTTCCGCCTGGCCAAACTTTCGCCCGTCGCCGGACTTTCGTCGTACTTCTACCTGACGCTGAACTTCCACATGTCATCGGACTTTTGCCCGTCGCCGAATGTTCGTCAAACTTCTACTCGATGCCAGACTTCCACCCGTCATCGAGTTTCTACCCAACGCTGGACTTCCTCCCAACTACGGTCCTTCCGACCTTCGTTGCCAAACCACGATCTTTATTATCTCTGTCACCCGCCGACTATGGTCCTTCCGACCTCCGTCGCCAGACAATGTTCTTTCCAACCTGCTTCGCCAGCTTCCGACCAAACGAACATATTAACAGTGATGTTTCCTATTTCCACCATGTAACACACTCTATAGGATGTATATTTGTTACATCAAGCCAAAGCCTTCCCTTCAATGAAAGGCCTCGTTTTTAATCAACTGCAAATACTAGTGGATTCATTCAATTTGGGTTAGACCTAGGGTTTTTCCCTTTTTAGAATTTTCCACATAAAAATCTTAGTCTCTCTTGATTAAAAACATAAACTTGTTAGCTCGAGTTGCAATAGGATTTTCTTTTCCCAAGCCTTACATGCAAATTATATCGGCACTACTTGGCAGGTAGCACAGGATCTCTGCTTAGCAGCATGTCATGGCCCTGCCTGCCAGTGTGCCCATACTCTAGTTGTCAATCTTTGAATGCCCTGCATGCAAGCTTGTCATGGCCTTGCCTGCCAGCGTGCCCATGCCATAGTTTCCAGCGTGCCCAAGCACGGGCTGCTAGTGTGCCTAAGCCTAGAGTGTGCCAAAGTTCCCTTACAAATGTACTTATAAGTACTCAATTTAAGATGTTTGAGATTCAAGATGGAATACTAGAAACTCATGTGTGCATGTATAAGTAAAAAATACATTTTGTATTGAGAAAAAAATTGTAAGCTTTTTTAGCCTTTTTGGAACTATCGGTGCATTTTGGGTATTATTAACCCTGCCTGTCTGTCACAGGGAAGCTGAACATGTAGGGGGTAAGAATTGTTTTCTCACCGAACTTGCATGCCTTATCAATTGTATTATTATTCTTAGCATAAGCATACTAAGGCTTATTTTTTGGATGTGAATTATTTGCTTTCTATCAACATCATGCGAGAGATGAAACATTTGTCTTTGATGCTTTTAATTATGGCTAATTCTCAACATGATTTGTTGCTTCATGCTATATGTGGCTAAATTGCATCTCGATGCATATTGGATGGAATATTCTTATGATTAAATGAAGAAACCCTATACTCGTTCAATTTTTTTTTGTTGGATGCGTAAGATAAAAAAGATGTGCCAAGTTGCATGTCATTATTGGCATTATTGGAGTAAATGCTCCATATGTCGCTTGGTATTTTACATCTTACATGGATGTTCAACTTGCCCAAACCTAACTACTATAAGTGCCTTGTGGGAGCTCACTGTCAATAATACTACCTAAACCCTTTGGTTTGTTGGTTGTCGAAGTTGGCTTACTCCTTGATATTGGATGGTGCAATTTGGATGGTTGATGTGGAAATGCTTCAGATAGTATTAGCACATGAGTTGTTATACACTATGTTTCAATTAATAGGTTGTTACTTTGTGTGGCCAACCATCTAATGACTATCATCATAAATTTTTAGCTATCACTTCTCGGGAAGTGACCAAACGATCCGCTTCACCTACTTCTCTGATGCAAGCAACCAGTCAATGAATAAGTAATAGAAAATTATGATTTTTAAGAAATAATGTAATGTGCGATACATAATAATCCTAAGACTGTTAGTCTGGAAGAAATATCGTTCATTTAGCAAATAACAGCGGCAGCTCTAATTGACGCGTTATCATAACAATAGAGTTTAAATACAAAGTAAAGGGAACCACCGCACAGACGTTAAGCATAATAGCTCCAGTTTAGAACAGCAATCCGTGCTTCTAATCCTCATCAGCAAACACAATAGCACCTTTTCTCAACTGCATAACAATGAAGATAGAATGGGTAAAAGGGGAAAATAAAATTGAATAAAATATAAGATTTTCAATACTAGGAAACAAATTCAGTTCTCCAAAGCAATTTTACAAGGAGAGTTTTCCATCGGGTGGTTTCAATTGGATTTTGGTAGGGGGCTTTAATTTTATATAATGAGAAGAATTCTTGATTATGGTTCCGCTCGAGACGGCTTTCTTACTTCTTCTAAAGCAGCTTTCTAGCAGTAAGAAAGCCGTCCCAAACGAAGTATATATCATTTAACTGAATGTAATTAGAACTCTATAGCAATTTTAAACTCGAAAAAAACTTTAGATATAGTTATTTTATTTTCACCTAAAATGAGCAAAAACAAAACATCACATATACTTGAAATTTCAAGTGGATCCAAAAAGAGTTGTCAGACATCCATTGTTACAACTTTTAGAGCTCGCTGGTTTCTTAGATACATTAGTGAAGATAGAATCACTTATTCGTAATGCCAATTTTAGATGAATGAAAAGTGAAGGAAACCAATGAAATTAAATTAAGACCCATTGGTGACTTCATTATAGATCTCCAACAGTTGATTTGGGATTCTGAAATTCACTTTCATATCAATTGTTTCACTTGATCCGAACATATTAAAAAGTGTCTTTCAATATGAATAAAAAGCATACAGAAAAAAATTTGCTTTATACTCGCCATAAATCAGTATTATATGCTAAGGAAATTATAAATTATTTTTCGCACAGCAAAAGGGTGAGCGTCTCACATATCTATACTACCATATAAACTGCATAGACATATTATTGGGAACAAGGATAACCCGAAGCAATGCTACTCTGTTAAAAACCTAATAAAAACATGTGGTAAATATAAAATAGAACATGAGAGAAAATCTGCATACCTGAGCCATCTGGCGATCCTTATTAAGCACTTGAGTCCTTTCTCTTTCTCCAAAAGATCTAAAAATCCTCTGCAGTAACCAAATATGAAAAAGTCAATTACATGAACAGAAGGGACAGTTGGGTTTCATTTGGGACAACTTTTTTACTGCTTTTTAAAATGTCCCAAATTTTTTGCTGCTTTTTAAAATGGATTTATAGTGCAAAAATTTCTTGAATTAGAAATCTTTATACTAAAAAGTCATTTTAGAAAATAATAAGAAAGTTGTCCCAAACGAAGCCTTAGTCAACAAACATCTTTAATATCAAAATGCATTGATGGATAACCGAAAGTAATCACTATAAAACAAGTGCATGGGCAACACAATTAAAAAGCTAGAGGTCAAATTGATTAACAGTGGGTGTTGTCACCTGAAAACCAATGTATAAATAAAAGGACCAATGATGCAAAATTGTCGCTCAATCGATAACAGAAATTTATCAACCTTCTTCTTGCTGCATGTTTATCAAGTTTGTTTGTTATCTCTGGGTGCTCACGTAAAATTCAGCACAAGATGGCGCACCAAATAATAAGATATTCAATAACTATCTAAAAATTGATCTCCAGAAACATAACATGAGATTTAATAATCAATTATGAGGCCTCGGGAATCAACTAAAATATGTGAACACCATGACAATCAATTTCTGAGGTGACGACACAGCTACCTACTAAAGCAGATTACACTTAATGATGGAAGAAGGCTCAGAAACATAAAACTGATTCTATTCATCCTTCTCTTGGACACTTTGGCTTAGACACGTTGGCTTAGAACAAAAACATTTTCTTAGCCTAACCCCAAGAATACAAAAGTTTAACATTATGAAATGCACATAAATTTCCTCAAAAGCATTAGAAGGCAGTAAGCAATGAATCAAAAGGCAGATAAAAAAGATTAATAACAACTGGGAGCAACTGATATGCCGGTTCAGGACCGGCCCAACCGGCTCGGCCAGGACCGGTTCGTGTTTACAGAAGGCGGGCTAGTCCCGCCTCCCCTATGGATGCCGCCCACTTTAGTGGGTCCCACTAGTCCAATTAAATTCAAATTTTGAAAAGGAGGGGGCGGCTAGGGCTTGGGAGAGAAATTTGTTAGAAAAGTTATTGTATTAAATATCATGAGATGTTTTAGGTTTAGGTGATGTTTTGATTTGTTCTCTATTAGGGTTCTTTGGCAACTTAGGCTATAGACTCTCTTGTCTAGAGATTTGGGAGAGGCAATCCTCCTCTCGAATTGAGGATCTCTTGTATCTTGTTTTCATTCTTGTTTGGTTTTGATTTTCCTACCGCAATATAACATTTTGGGGCTGATTTCGTCCAGATTTTGCATTATTCTCGTTGTTTTTCACCAATTGGTGATAGGTTTGCTTGCGAACTCAAGTATGACCCTTAGGGTTACTTGCAAACTCAAGTATTTCCTATCAGCAACATACAAGACGCAAATCTATCAGAATCAAAATACTAATGAGCACAGCTTTGGAGAAAACAGGAGAAATATAGGATAGTTAAGTACTATGAATGACCAAAACAAACCTTTTGTGTAGTTGATAAACCATTTTCCGCATCTTCTGTATGATCAAATACATTATGCAGGAATTCATTGTCCTGCATCAACATCAAACCACAGAATTATAAATAATTCAGCGATGTTTCAATGATAATAATACAATCAGATGCCAGATAAACAGTTGCAACAAGAACCTGGGCATGTTTAAGGAATCCACTTCCAAGAAAATGTTTTAGGAAGTTCAACTGTCAAGGAAAGATGAAGCAGCTCAGGAAAAAAGTTAAATTCCTGATTCAGTCGTTGCGAAAAAGAGCCTTAACAAGTTCACAAAAGTTGACTAAGATAATTTGTAAAATTAGTATGATACCATGCATAGAGCTAGCAGTTACGATCAAAGCTTAAAATTGACTCAAGTTTTGAGTCAATTCAAAATCAAATTGGCAAATTTGCATTGGGTTATTAGTAAATATCTCAACCCGAGCCATTTTTTGGGTCAGATTTTATCTGAAAATGGCACGCTTGCAATGAGATTCTAGCCGACTATACATTTATCCTATATTGTAAAATATTACAATTTTTATTGGTTTTAGTTCAAATAAGATTAATCCAAGACAACTCAAAATCTATTCTTTGTCGGCTTAAGGCCATAAAATTATATGTCCAACTAAGCCAAAAAAAATAAAAGTGAGAAAAGTAGTTTAACGCTAGTCTAATAAGAAGCTGTCATTTAACATTTTTTATATGCTACACTACACAGTAATTCCATGTTTAAATAGAAAGAACAACAAAAAAAGTATTCAAGAAAGATAGTTTGGCCAATTTTTCTACAGATAAGATGATGAAGCTCCATGCCTGAATTAATTTAGTCCATGTTGAAGTTGTCAGCACTCCTTGCTTCTTTGATAATTTCAAGGATGTCTCAGGCTGCTCTCCTTCCTATAATGCGGATTCAATTTAGAATTGCAAAAATATGCATTGTTTTTATCAAGAAATGTCAACAATATAATATAATATATATATATATAATATATATATATATAAGAACTGAAAATATACCTTAAGATAATCATAAATTTTCTGAAAGGTGTCCCGTTGCGTGTTTAGACATTTCTTATCAATTCCTTTGCCCCCTGCCTCCATCGACAGGCCTGACACCAGCAATATTATTTTTTCTTTCAACGACAATAAATAAATATGCCACTTGGGTTTTGAAGGAATGCCCTCTGTACTCTCAAGATCACTAGTGATATTAGATAGTTTTCCAGCCACCACAATCTCAAAGATGACAGCTATCGCTTCACCAGCAGCAATTCGGACAGCACGGTCACCATTTTCTAAGAGGTTGCAAAGGAATGTGATCACCCTGCAGTTTCATGTAATAAGAAAACTTTCTTATAACAAAATAAGCGAATAAAAAAGTTAAAAATAGCGAGAGATGGTGCAAACTTGACTCACTCAATCCAAATGTCCAGATCAACTCTCCAGCCACTCATGGTTGTCAGAAGAAATGACCACGCAGATAGCGCCCCTACTAATACAGCTGAGCTGGGTTTAGTGATAGTTCCAGCCTGAAGAACAAAAGAAAACAAAAAACAAATCAATACATTCATCTACAATATGCAAGTAAAGTGTTAGACCGGTCCGGCCGGTCCACATGGGACCGGCTCAGGTGGAGAACATGCGGTCGCATAGGCCGATCGGGCTGCCAAATCCAAGGGAACATTTTTGGAAAGATTTGTGAGGGAATAGGGAGGAAATTTTGAATGTAGGAATTGTTTAGGGATTTCCTTTTGATTTGTATGCATTAAATAGTTTGTTTTCCTAGGATTAGGGCATCTTGAATTTGGTTGAAAATTGAGATATCTTAGATTTAGGTTTTCTTTTGGGCTCTAGCGGCGTCTAGAGATTTGGGAGAGATCGATCCTCCTCTCAAATAGAGAATAGAGGATCAATTGTATCTTGCTATTTTTCTTCTACTAGTGAATTTCAAGTGTTTTCCCTCAGATTTTGCAATAAAATTACTGTTTTTGCTGTTTTCCATTGGAGTTGTGGACAATTTTTGTTGTTTTTACAGATAGTGTTAGGTTTTACTTGAAATCTTCGAGTACTTCCCATCATAAAGCTCACAGGAAAACACAAATAAAGCTATCTAAATTGGTTAAGATTTAAAAACTTCATACAACCTCAACCATTACCTTAGATAATGATTTAGGATGAATGATTTCCCACATTATTTTCATAACTGTTTCAGTCTCCTCCCAATTATTTGAACCAGCAAATGTGACAATTGCTAAACAATCCAGCACCTGTGGACATAAATTAAATTATTAAAAAAATACAATGGCAACTGTAAATCATGACACTTTAGCAAAAGCTAGCAAGGTTTAGGACTTACAGATGTTCTGACTGCATCAGGCCCCGATATGAGAGCACGAGAAAGAGATGGTATTGACTCCTCCATTATTTCATGTGTATTCTCTCCATTCCCAGCGGTAATGGCAAGGAAACCTTTTGGGAGAAATGGCAGAGTCAATTAGGAAAAGGTTTAAAGTGGTCACTTTCAAAGCATGATGAGACCTTACCAATGGCACGAGCAGCCAAGCAGACCTCCTTAGCCGAGCCGCGTTTAATAGAATTAAGATAAAGATGTAATAAGGTGATGCATCTGCGACACAAAAATAATCTCCAGTAAGAGATATCAGATATGGGAAGCAATCAAAGAAAAAGAGAAGGGGTGGGGGGAGGAATATGTCTTGATCCATGCAAAATATACAAATAGAATCCGTAGAAGTTTGAAAGGTTCATGATACTCAAGAAATACAATACAAAATTAAACCCACTGATATTTATTATGCACAAATCAGGAAAAGATGAAATTTAAAATGATGAAATGTAAGAAATATAGGCTAAAAACATAGTAGGCAGAATTGTTGAGAATCATAAAAAAAATGATGGTGGGAGTTGAACCCCTTGCCTCATTCTTACCATGTCGGAACAACTACCATATGAGCTAATGCTATAAGAGCGAAAGATAGTTTTACTAAGGATATAACCTAATGTAGCAGTATCTTACCATTATGTGCAATAAATAAATGAAAAAAAATAAAATAAAAAAAATGTGCAATAAACAACTGCAGGATATGATAACTACAATGATGGAAGGAATATTACACAGTTAACAGCACTTGAATGCTCACCTGTTTTCTATGAAATCAAGAAGCACATTTCCTTCAAAGGCACAAACAAGCCCTATCAAAGCCTTCTCTCTCGTGGATCCCCTATAATGGAGAAATAAGAACGACATTAGATAACAGGAAACTCCTTAACTTATCTTTCATGATGCCAATAAATAAAATTTCCTACAAAAACAAAATAAGAGTGAAAATATATCTAAAGCAAATTTTGTTGGGCTGGGACTAAAGGTATTGATGATAAAAGCTGCAAGAATAAGAACAACAGGAGTAAAAATGCTTCAAAATATGATCAATATATACTGAGAAATAAATAACCGAAGATTTAGAACCAGTAGGAGCAAACTCAAGAATATGACGACCAAATTATCAAGGTTTCATTTCCACATAAAAATCAATTTTATTTTTCAAAAAAATGTTTTACATCTACAAGCATTTTTTGGTAAAATTTACTTTTTTTTTAATTTCATATTCCAATCAATTAGATGAAACCAAATTTCTTCAGTTTGTTAACCTTTTTTTTTAATTATATTATGTCTGTCATGAAGAAAAATTATAACAGAATATCAGAAATAAAAATATGATATATTAGCATAACATTTGCTTTAAAATAAGAAAATATTTTATCTAAATCACAGGATATTTAAATAAAAAAATATAAAACATTGGCGATTACTTATTAAAGACACAGAATTTAAAAATTCAATAATTTATATCGAATATATTTGTATCTAAGGTTGATAAATAATTCCCTGAATAAGGTGAAATGCCTTATATATAGACGCATTAAATAGGTGTAATGATCAAGAAAACAAATAGTCCTCATTCCTTGAAGCCTAGGAAAAGTCGAGCAATAATTATGCAAAATTTCAATCATCTATAAATGGAAAAATTATTATGTGCGGAGTCCAGACCCCAATGGAAATGTGCCACGTCCGGTACCGAGCTTAGTACCCACTCGGTACCTAAGCGTAAACCGGACGGTTCTCCCGTCTGGTGTCCGCATAGAATAATCTCTCCTATAACTGAAGTACAAGTCACCAACAAAGCAAAATAAAAGCTTTTAACAAAATGTGTAGAAGAATAACAAGTCTAAGCAGCACGGCAGGCGCTCGACAATACGCTGAACAATTCTTCAGTCTACAGTAACCAAAATAAAAAACTTGCTAATCACCTATTATACTCAAGCCCTCCCACACGACTCTTCAATGAAAAAGACAAATCAGGGTGAGAGAAAGAAAGCCATCGTCCACTTCAACATGTTCAATAAAGTATAACAAAAAAACTTCACTTTAAATTTATCTTAGAAGAAGGCTGGGTTTGTTGCATCAGTAATGTGTTCAATTATGAATCAATTAACTATAAGCAGAAGCATTTTCCAACACCTTCTCATTATTATGTAACATCAGAACAATAACCCATCCTCTATTGAAATTGTTATCATTAATGCATACATTACTTATTGTACTTTTATGAACCTTGATCATCCATTCTCAATTGATTAATTTGATTCCATGAGAATTGAGGTGTAATTTTCTGAACATAGTCCCAAGATGTAGACTTTAATGATTGACTTAGTCATGTTTGGAGTATGATCGATATTTTTATGGGTAAAAAAGTGATGTTTAAGTTGTCAAAGCACTGATCTTTTTCATTTTTAACATATACTTGATGATAGTTAAATGGGCATGAAAGTGGATTATACTCAATCCATAAGTACTTATAACTCCTTAAATGAAATGAAGGTATAGTGGAGGATTTTAGATGATGGATAGATTTAAAATTGAATTTAGGTCTCTTTTATTTCTAGCTATAATGTAATTAGTTTAATTAATTTTGTTATCTAACATATTATTACATAACCATAGTCAACAAGGGCAAAATCAGCTTTACTTTTAAGGGTGAGCAAACTCAATACATGAATAATTAAAATAAAATTGATACACTATTAAAAGAAAACTATATTATTTTCTGCATACCCTTCTCTCTCATATATTTATGAGGTTTCAAAATGAACTCTACCGATACAATAACAATGTAACAAACAACGATACATCATCCATGGTATGGAAAGAAACAATTGGAAATATTACCATACTGGCAAGAAAAAAAAATCAAAGCCCCATTCTTTATCATGGCTAGAACCTTAAGGCTTTGTTTGTTTGAGCGTTTTTTTGCCTTCTCCGTTTTCGAAAACGGAGGAATTTTTTTTTTGTGTTGTTTAGTTCGTCAAATCACGTTCCTAATAACTCCTTTTTTTTCATTTTTCTGTAGTTTTGAGAAAGTTTTTTATATGTGCTTCTCCGTTAGAAAACTCCATTTTCTGAACTAATGTTTTTTAAAACTGTCTTTTACAAAAGCACAAAAAAAACAAACGAAGCCTGAATAACAACGCTAGGTTTCAGAAAATAATTTCAAATTCTCAAAAAACCTGGTCCATCATTAACCTTTGACAAAAAGTGTCAGGGAATCTAATCGCTTGCCAACCTTTAAAAAAAAAAATCAAGAAAAAAAAAATCTAGCCATTACCTTATTTAGCCTCGCTCATCCCTTAAATATTTTTAGCCTCCAGATTTCTTCTCCTTCAAATGCTAGGGTGAGCTGTGAGGGGTGCAGCGTGAGAGTAGAGCAGGAGAGAATGAGATGGGAGCAAGGTGGCGTTGGAGTAGTGCTAAGAGTTAGGGTAGTTTTTTTTTTTTTCATTATGGGCAAGAAAAATTATTGGGCATGCAAAATTACTAAATAACCCAACATATTAAGAAAACTTTCATCTTTTTATGAGCAGGCAATTGCCCACCCTGGGTTGTGCATGGGTTTTCCCTTGATAGGCATTAAGATTTGTAGTACTATGTCATATTAGAAATTTATATTTTCATCATAACCTAGCCAAATATATTTCAATTTTTGTTTGCAATTAAACTTATTACATCTCAGAAAATGCAAAAACAAAATGGTGGCAAACATGATCTAGGCTTATTGAACATAATTTTTTTCACAATAGAGCAATAATAATACTAATCAACTAGTGAAGAAGAGTAACCATGCTTGAAATGACAACCTGCAAGGTAGCGCTATCGGGCTAAACTCCACATTGCAGCAACAAAACCTACTGATGACAACCAGTAGCTCAAATAAGTCTAGAGCTGAGCATAAATAGGTTCATATGAAGAAGTGCAAAAGGTTTTATACTTTTATTCTTTAAGGGGGCACATGCCAACTGCATTCATTTTGGTGGTGAAGTGTGGGAAATTGCATTGTGTTTTTTTATCATAGAATTTGTATTATTTAGAATTTCTAGTGTTTTTTTGGTTGGATGAAGTTTAAATTTTTTTGTGAATTTATCAGCCTATATTTTGAAATGTGAATTTTCAACGTGCACATTCTTTGTTTTCTTAGATGTGATTTTATTTTTAAAATCTTTTGTTTGAAAGGATGTACTTCAAGTTATTGAATTTCCTAAATTGCACTTTAATCGGATATTGTCAGAACATGATCAGACTCTTTTGCGTCATTTGATGATTGCTTAGTACTTTTTGGAGCTCACTGGAATATGGCATAACTTCAATGGAGTTGGCTGAGGCTTGCTAGAGTTCTTCGTTGTATGGATTGAGGCTACTAAAGTTCATTGGAACCCAGTTGGCGTTGTCGAGTGGTTGGATCTTGCCAAAGCCCAAAGAGCTATGGCGGCCTCTTTTAGGGGTTTTATGGACTTCAAAATTCTTATTGATTTCTTATTGCATATAATAACATCATGGAATCTAGCAAATTCTGTTTTTTTAATTTCTTTAATTTATAACAACCAAATGAGCCGTAAATGGCAATCATTTTTCAATGATCATGTTGATTATGTTTTGGTTGTTCTTGCATATTTGATAGTGTAAAAGTACTTTTTTATGATTTCTAGGTTTTTCAAAGATGACACACAAATGAAGAGCGTAGAATAGAAGGGTTAATTTGCAAGTGTTAGATAAGAATTGTGTTTTAGGTAAATTGATTCACTTTGTTGCTCATTATTGAAAATCAACCATTAAAAAAGCGGACGAGGCGTCCGCATTTAGTCGCTCCTCAAGTCGAGGCGGAAGTCATGCGTATCGGGGCTTACTCCTCGAACCATCCAGCGAAGCCTACGATTTTTTCGCACGAGGCGTACGCATTAGAGCGTAACCCCTCAAGGCAGTATGAGGTACCGCCTTGAAATTTTTTCTTCGGTATATATGTAAATATGACGCAGCCGATTCATGTTCGTGTATTCGCGTATAGGATTAGGGCTTCCTGTGAGAATTGAAAGGCGAACTAGAGGCGAAGCCATGAGGGAAAGAGACGAAGCCATGAGGGAAGGAGACGAAGCCATGAGGGAAGGAGACGAAGCCGTGAGTGTAGGAGACGAAGTCGGAAGGAGACGACGCAGGGAAAGAAACGAAGCCAAAGTTGTGAATGCAGAAACATTTAGGCATCGGTTAGGTCGGAAGATCAGGTACGTGGTGTTGTGGCCTTGACTTTGACGTGCAGTAACGAAAGCTTGAATAACACCTGATTCGGCTTTCTTTCATTCGTCTGCTCAGTACAAGCTCGGTAACGAGTAGGTACATGCTCGGTACCGCTCAGTACAATCTCGGTACCGCTTAGTACATGCTCGGTACTTAGCGGTACACGCTCGGTACCGAGCAAGTACACGCTCGGTAACAAGCCAGTACCGCTCGGTACCGAGCAGTACATGCTCGGTACGCTCGGTATTGAACATATACAACAAACAGAATTTCAAAATTACTCTTATAATATAATTTTGTTCCGGGGGCGCTGCAGAATTTCAAAATTTTAAAGGTATTCTTAAATATAATGAATTATTTTGTATGTTACTATTGTTTCATTTTAAAGCTAATGAAATATTAACTGATATATGAGATAAAGGAAAAAATATTATAGATGAAGAAGAGTTGGAGGATGACTTTGACATTAATTATGAAGATTTTTCTGAAGACAATCAAAGTGATGATGAGCCTGCTTTGGGTCTTGATCCTAAGGGGATGTTTTATTTTTAAGTGAGTTTATTTTAAATCTTGTATTGCAGTATTATTATCTTAAAACAAATCTTCAAATTCATAGTTGACATAATATTTTGTTATTTTTTGTCATTATTTATAATTTTAAATTAATTTATTTTAATCGTTTTGAGGCTTACGCCTCGAGGCTTACGTCTCGTCTCACTTAGAAAAAATACCTCGATTCCCAATTTCGCTTTTTAAAACCTTGATTATGATAAGTGATAGCCAGTTTAAACTGCTAAAATAGCCTATTCACCATATATGGGGCAAGTTGTGTGTATCAAACCCTTCCTAGAACCATCATGATAGGAAACAAAGGAATTAGGTAAGCCCTCTTATTCCTTATAGCTTAACATTAAAAAATTATTGTCATATTGACCTTTTCGTTCATACATTTAGTAATTAAAACACTTTGCCGCAAAAACCTTAAAAACAAGTGGCATTATACCTCTCATCCTATAAAGTAAGTTCCAATAAAGCTGAGGTAACAATAAATTAACCTTTCAGGTCATGTCTGAACCTACACTACCGCCTACCCTTCTGCCCTCCATTGCACAAAAATGTAGGATCTTCTTTAATTTTGTGTAAGTTAAGTTTTATAAATAATGCTACACAAAATGAAGAAAAAAAAGACAAACTAAAAAACGCCATTGCACACCTAATTAACACCGATAGGATGATAAGTTCAATTATAGCTGCCCAAACCCAAGTAAAACAAAAGGCGAAATTTTTCTTGCACTATCATTACGCTTGACAAGGAAGATACTGAGAGTTGAATTACAACAAGGATTTACAATCAATACAACAAAAAAAAAAAAACTTTTGGTCATACTTTAGAAAAAACTCCCGAAATAAATTTAAGTATAGAATATATCTTTTCGAGTTATGTAAAAAAAAAAAATTTAAGATTGAATGTTGCAACAAATTCTATAACTCTTTCTGGGGAAGCAACCAAGCCATATTGAATTAATAGACCGTCACTTTAATCAATACCAAAATATAACCACCATACACTTTCAATACTTCATGGCCAAAAAACCCTCTTTAGAACAAAGTAGCAGAAGCTAATTCTAGATGAAAAGCATTAAAATTTCGGAAGAAATGTAGAAACTGCTTCTAGAAATAGAAGATAAAAAAAAGTCACAAACAATAATCAAAAGGTAAAATAAAGGAAATCACAACGCCACAAAATTGAGTTAAAGCAAGTACTAATTTAAGTTACAAAAATGTAGAGGTAAAGAAACACCTTTTTTCATAGAGAGCATCCAGACACTTCTCAAGCGTGAACTCCTGTGAGTCGACTCTCTCCGTCTCGTGAGCCAGGGATAGATCAGAGAAAGCCGTGGAAGAAGAACTCACGCTATCAGCGTCGCTGCTGTCAAACTGATCAGCTTTCTTCTGCTTTCCTGTAAGAAACTTCTTCATCAGAATTCAGAACCACCCAACTCCACGAAACAACCAAAACAAACCATCCAGGAAAAAAAATGAAGAACCCCTGAAGAACTTCAGATTTCTCCGACAAATAACACCAAAAAAGATCCGATTTGATTCTCTAAAAAACATTCATAAAAAATTCAGGATGGGAAAAAAAAAAAGTTATCCAAAACTTACGTTTCCCCATGACAGAATCTTCCCTCTGTATCCTTGAATCAAGAGCAGGCGAGAAGCGCGTGAAAAGAAGCAAGAGAAAGACAAACGTCACAGCAGGAATCGGAGAACTTCAGAATCTGAGTGAAATTCGCTATCATATTCAATGAAGAAGAGGAAGAACCGACGGCATGAAATCTACCAGAAAACAGCAGAGCCATGTTATAATCGCGAGATCAATTGACAGAAGCGATCGGATTGGGGATTACGTGGCGGCGTTAGCAGGGAAATCGGATAGAAGGAATGGACGTGGGCTAATAACCTTTCAGAAACGAGAGGAAGTAAATTGATTGAAACCCTAGAAAACTTCCCAATTTTACGTACGGAGTTCAGTCGTTGGCGTCTAACCATCGACGGATTTAGGATCCGCCGTTCGTTTATACAATGGGAAGATCATGACCGTATAGATTTACTTATGGTAATTTTCTCTAAAATAGCATGTTCCCGCAATATACCAGAAGCAAATAACGTGGACGGTTAGTTTAAGGCTTTATTTGTCACATTCTTAAAATAAATTTTTAGTTTAAAAATAAAATTTATACTAAAAAATTATTTTAAGAATCATTAAGAAAGCCATTTAGTTAGCCATTTCAAACTAAGCCTAAGACTTTTTCTCATTATTTTTTTTAATTTAAAATTTTTGGTAATGTCTTAAAAAATACTAAAAAAATTGTCTCAATCGAAATCTAAATTGTACCGTCCATTCTCAAAAAGCAAAATCATGACGTATATATTTACGTATTAGCCATTTGGAAAGAAAAAAGTAAATAGAATTGTCACTAGTATTCATCTGGATCCTAGAGACATTATCATTTACACACTTAATGGTCTTCCTTCAAACTATCAAGACTTCAAACTTATTATTCAAACAAATTTTCATCTTATTAGCTTGGATGATCTATACTCACTTCTAAGTAGTGAAGAGACCAACATTGCTAATGAAACATGAACAAATCTCCAAAATTCAGCTATTAAAAAACTATTTGATAACATTTTTTCACAATAGATGAAGAGGACGGTGGTGTTTTTTCTAAGATAGAAAAGGGCATTCACAAGCATTCCTAAACTTTACTCCAAATTGTGATAGAAAGCATCCATCTACATATATTACGTGTCAAAAAAATGATAAATTTGATAATGATGCCATTAAGTGTTGGTGTCGCACAAATTTCGCCGTCACTCCTTTTGCTCTCTTACAAAAGGTCACTGACTCCCATTTCCTATTTCTTCTTCTACAAGTTGTAATCCTTAAGAGTTGAACCGGTCGAACCGGCCGGTCCGGTCCGGTTTTCAAAACAATGAGTATTCCTCTAGATCCTGGAAACATTATCATTTACACACTTAATGGTCTTACTTCAAACTATCAAGCCTTCAAAGTTGTTATTCAAACAAATTTTCATCTTATTAGCTTGGATGATCTATACTCACTTCTAAGTAGTGAAGAGACCAACATTGTTAATGAAACAGCAACAAATCTCCAACATTTTACGATAAGAAACTCCTTGATAATACTTTTTCACAATACAATAAGAAGAAGGGGGTGTTTTTTCCTTGAGATAGGAAAGTGAGTTCACAAACATCTCTATTTACTCCAAATTGTGTTAGAAAACATCCATCTACATCAATTACGTGTTAGATAAATGATCAATTTGGTCATGATGACATTAAGTATTGGTGTCGCACAAATTTCGTCATCACTTCTTTTGCTCTCTCACAAAAGGCTACCAACTCCCCTTTTATATTTCTTCTTCTACAAGTTGAAATACTTAAGAAACTATTCGCACAGATGTATGAGGGTCTTCTTCAATTATCTCTAAACAAGAATTTCTATGTTATATATTTTGTATTCATTAATATATTTGCTTGTACCATATGAAAGCAAATATGAAACAATGACCAAATTCATAAATTTCAAAATCATGGTAGATAAATAACTCAATTCGTTTATCAAGATTTTAAGATTCGATGGATGAGGCCAATACAACAATAAAAAACTTCAAATTTTCTTAGCTCAACGGGCTATTGCATATCATAACAGTTACCTATTTGACTTTGATCAAATTAGCATAGATGAATGAAAACACCAACACATCATTGAAATTACATGAACAATAATGCTTGATGCAAATCTACCTCCTCCGATTGACACCCTTATAGCAATTTCCTATCTCATTAATAGGCTTCCTTCTCCCATAATAAGTAACACTTCTCTGTATCAACTTCTCTACTAAAGCCTCAACAATAATCTCACCAAAAAATAATCAGCTGCTTTTGCAATTTATAGTTGCAATTTGTAACAACCCGATTTTTTGAAATGGTTAAAATATATATATAATTCCTGTTTGAACTATAGTGTAGCGATGTTGTACCTTTGAGCACTAAGAAAATGGGGTCTAGAGCATAATGGCGCCTAGAATGACTTCTGCGGTGTTGAAGTCTCTATTATATAGTAATTCTGAATTTTACATGCAATGTTGGATCTGAGAGCTGTAGTGCTAGGCCACTAAAATCATTTTTATTCCACTCAGCTGCTCACTCCCTCGCCTGCACCACCGATTTGCCGAAGGAGGGGGAGGGAGAAGAGAAAGGAGGAGAGAGAGAATGAGAAATCTTATTTTTCACCACCAGATCGCTTTACCGCTTTTTAACGAAAATTATTCCAATCAAGGTATGTGACTTTTTATCTAGTTCTACTTTTAAAGATTTCAAGTTTGACCGTTTGATTCTCTCCATAACTGATTTTATTATATTTTTCCTAGTTTTAACAAATTTCTATTGTACAACGTTTTGTATGTTATAGTGTCGAGCATCACGGATATTTTGACAAGTTAACTTCTGAATTTCACCGTGTAAAATTGAATTGATATTGTATTTTGTACAATTTGCATTGAATAAATAATTGTGTTTTTATTTAAGCATATTATTATTATAGCCATTGAGAATGAAAATAGGTGTATCACTGAGTAATAACTAGTATTTATTACTGTTATATTAATTTGATAAAAAATGTGTAAAAGATATGTATTACTTGGTTTCATTGACATTGGATGGAGATTGTTACTAACCTGTAAAGGATGGTAGGCCGACGGGATTTTCTTTAAATACTATGATTTGATGTTATCTTCTATTAATTCACATGATTCAATGTTTTGTAGTTATAAGGAGATATTATTATGCCGATGGACAAGGAGTGATGACTCTATTTACTGATCCAACAGTTACTAACAACTAACTTATTACTGAAAAAACATTGCTTTGCAAGACTATTTACTTATTTAGTATGAGTATTGAAATGTATATTACTGATTTATTATTACCATACGACTTTACTATTATTGTACCAACTTATTGTATTGATTTCTATCATCGTATGAATTCATTGTTATTGTCAATGTTTATTGTTACCATTATTGTGATGTTCTATTATTACTATTATTTATAAGATTAATACTGATTCATTACTACAACTACTTTTACTGGTCCATCAATATTATTTATATTTACTATTTAATATTTATTATCACTAACTATTAGACGCTAGTTATCTTGAATGTGTGATTGTTATGTTGATTTAATATATGGTTGGGTTTATTGCATTGAAATGACTTCGACTATTTTATTGATTCGACATACTGGTTCATTAATTTACTGGTTTTTCCCCCACTGTACAGCTTTATTGTTTTCTATATCGTACTGTTTTATGGTTCACATATTTCATAACTACTGCTTATAAGCTTTACTATTTTTGCATAGTCTTTATGATCACATTGCTACTACTATGACTTGACTATAACATACATATTATTTCTTTATAGTGCTTTAAATTTACTTGTATGATTTAGTGACCTGATGGGCTATTGAGCTAATTATAAATGGTTTAATTGATTTTTGGTCAAGGCATTAGATCAAGAGGGAGAGATTCACTAAGATTCTCTAAGTTTATTATTGGTTTAATTCTTTCTATTTTTTAGCTATTCTTTTGCACTCAAGATTGAAATGATATGATGTGATTGTATTGATAGTTTCTAAGTAATCTATATGATTTTTGGAGTAATAAATATAGTTATATTTTGAGCTTTTGATTATTAGTTTTAGTTTTTGCTATTATTATTATGAAAGTAGATAACTCTGATATTTAAATTTAATAGATAAAAATGCATTCTTTCAATTTAGAATCTGAAGCGTCACACAATCTCATACTCCCCATAAATTTGCACTGAATTCTTTCCCTTGTCTTTCTTGGCTATACCACCTATCACAGAAGGGAGCTAAATGCTATGAGCCCAACATTAATAAAATATGCATATCGTCATATTGAATTCCATGAAAGGATAAATTCTTTTTTAGCAGGATAAACCCCTCCCCGATCCTCATACACACCATACTTTATACGTCCCTTCACTCTTTTTGCAACACCCAACATCACTCACTCCATACTTTATATGTCCCTTCACTCTTTTCTCTTTCAAGCCTCCTATATATATTCAAACTCTACTAGCAAACTCAAGCACTATCCTCTAACCTTCAACCCATGAGCTTGATTCAACAGCCTGAGAGCCTAATGCACCATCTTTCATCTCACCATCTTCTACCACAAGCCCACCTCAACATCCCTCATCTCCTTCGCTCCTAACTAAGTATCCTATGATAACATAAAATAAATAGGTTGCTCAAAACATGATAAATTTATAACCTCACTCATATACTTGTGCAGGGGCGGAACCGACTTTAATTTTGAGGGGGGGCAAAAATACAGCACAAAAATAATTAAATATTAAAAAAATATATATTATATATCTATACATTATGAAAAGTTTTTTTAAAAAATTAAGCAAGAAAAATAAAGAAAAATGTGTAATTAAATTGTTATTAAAAGCCTGAAAGAGAATATTAGAACTAAATGTAAAGAAATATATAGGTATTTTAGGGCAAGTTAGGACAAAAGAGTACAAAAAAAAATTTTAGGGGGGGCAAAAAAAATTTAAGGAGGGGCAAAAAAAATTTTTACTCTCTTATATTTAATTTTTAATTTTCTCCTATAAAAAAAAAATTTTTTTTTTTTAGGGGGGGCAATTGCCCCCCCTAAGCCCACTACAGTTCCGCCCTTGTACTTGTGTATCTCTTAAAACCTACAATTTTAGATGGATTTATAAAACCAGGCTCAATTCATATATAATAATAACATGGCATAAACCAAGATTTGCTGCTCAAGGCTACAAATAAAGTAAGGCTTGATTTCAATAAGATTTTCAATTCAGTTGATAAGATCTCGTTATCCTTTTTTCTTACAATTGCTTCAACTCACAAATGGCCTATAACACAACTATACATCTCTAATGCATTCCTTCATGTTAAATTGTTAGTGACATTTTGTATGCACTAATCACTAAATTTTTTAAGATCCTAAAAAATTAAATCATGTGTACCTCCAAAAGTAGGCTATACATGGCCTAAAATATGCACCCCACCATAAATTCTCTACCCTCTCCAATTATTTCCTTCAACTCAGGTTTCATACAAGCAAGAGACTAATCCATCCATGATGCTTCACGCAAAAGGTACTTACTAGACATATTCAGTTATTTATGTTGATAATAGCTTAATTATAAGTAATAACCCAACTGTCATTCAAGCATTACTCAACCATCTTCTTTACACTTCAACTTGAAATTTTTTTGGATCCATCTCCTACTCCCTAGTCACTCAAGTACTACAAATATCCTATGGGCTTCGTCTAACAAAGCCAAATATTCCACCAATATCCTCAACCAAATCATGATGATAAATTGTAAGGCTTTCAACAATCCAATCTCTATCAATCCACCAACAATTACTAATCCACATGCAACATTTCTAGATACAACTATAATTCATCATCTTGTCAGTTTTCTCTAGTGCCTATTAATTATAAGGCCTAATATATCTTTTGATGTCAATTCCATTAATCAAAACATGCATAATCTTCTCAAAATTCACTTCCAACTTCTCAAATGTTTATTCCAATATATCCAAGGAAGGACACAACTTGGTCTTCCTGTTAGAAAGGGTAATATCTGCTTTTATGCTTATCTTAATTTTGATTAGGCAGTGATTCTATATATTGAAAGCCAACAACAAGCCACTATGCATTTTTGGAAAACTATCTTGTCATCTTATAAGTAAAGTAATTAATTACCGATGCTAAATTGTCTATGGAAGTTAAGTATCATGTTCTAGGAATGATAACCACTATCATCATCAGACTTCATTTATTTTTTTCAAGACTTCAATAATATCACACATAAACCTACCTCACTCAGCTGTGATAATATTCCAACAATTGCTCTTATTTTGTATTTTGAGGATCACTATAGCATTTTAATGAATTGAAAAAACAATCGAATAAAATTTAGTTTTGTACACAAGGCATTTTCTTTTCAATATTTTGTTTATTAGTGTAAACATAAAGGATGATGAATAAAGAGCAGTGATGGGGTGCTTTAAGATTAGTGTTGTATATCGAAAGTTGTATTACACTAAACTCAAAGCAATTGAATAATTCTAATGTCCATCTTAATAGAATTTATATAAGAATATTCATACACAATTTTTTTTCATTGCATGCTATGCATAACACATGAATCATTCATATCTGAGCCATTTGAAAATAGCTGGAGGATGCAAGAGAAAAAATGGTTAGCCCAAATTTCTAAGAGCACTTCATATTTGTGAGTAATCATTAATTTATATAATTCAATTGCACCCGAAAATAAATTTTATCATATAATTCATATTATAATGAGTTTAAAAAAGTATTAAATATATTTTATATTAATGTTATAGACGACGTGTCTACATTGTACTAATCTCAAAATAGATCTAATAATTTTCATGTCCATTTTAATATAATTTATATAAGGATTTGAGTACATAAAGTATTTTTATTACATCTTATGCATAACACATGGATCACTCAAGCTTGAGCCCATAAAGGGGTTTTTAAATGCTTTAAGTATTTTGATACTTTTATAATCATATAATAAAGATATAAATCACATTGTTCATAAGATTTATAGATTACATACTCTTCATTGAATATATTTTAGTCCTTTTGTTCAACTAGATGGGTATATCATTTATATTTGACCAAAAGACCCCTTCTTTGGGCGCCATTATAATCCTCCATTCACTTTATATATATATATATATATATATATATGTTAGATGATCTATCTTCAATATGAAGAGGTTTATTTTACAAAGCAATTCTAGGTTTTTATCAAAAGTTAACTCTTAGTATAGCAGACAACAATTAATATTATGCTTTTTTATATTATATAAAATAAAATTATTATAAGTTTACATTAATATGTAAACTACTCCAGTACTCCGCATATTTAGCATATGCAAAGTAAGTCATAAAAATTTGCAAATATAAAATTATACTTTTTAATAAATATTTTCGTTTAAATCAAAAACCATTTTTCGAAAAAATTCGCTCCGTTGCAAACAGAGAGAGAGAGAGAGAGAGAGAGTTTTTAAGGAGACCATCTCTCCCGCTGATCTTCGTCCCCTGGTTGCAACCGAAGCGCAATCCTACCAAATGCTCCTCCCCGCAGCACTACCTCTTACCCACGATCCGGCGGTTTATCCACCGGAAAAATTTCCAGCGGTCGAAATGTGGCCAATTAATTAGCCTGCTTCCATGCCCGACCCACATTTCTCTCCCTCCCCTGAGTTTGTTCCTCAAGTCTCTGTTTGCTTTCTTCATGGAGCTCTTCTGTCCGGAAGACGGCAATCTCCTTGCTTTCTCCGACGAAGAAGATGATGACGCCAACGAACTCATCTTTTCGAACAGCTCCTTTCTCTCGCAAGCAGAGGACGAATATATAGAAACTCTCGTATCCAAAGAGACTGCCTTTTCAAGCCCAACCCATTCTTCCTCCGGCGACCGTCTGCACAGCGAAAGATTCGAATCCGTCCGTTGGATCCTCAAAGTGAGCTTGCTCTTGTCCATCTAACACTAACTGTAACAATCCATGTTTAAAAATCTCATAGTTTCTTATTTTTTGCGGCTTTCTTTCTGCTCTGATACAGATGAAGTCAGGCTTCGGTTTCAGCTCACAGACCGCGTACCTCGCTGTGACTTTTTTAGACCGGTTTCTACTCCGGCGGACCATCGATGTAAGGAAGAATAACTCGGTCTTGAGGACCATTTGCTTGTTTTTTATATTTTTGTTGATTTTCCATTGATTAGGAGGGGAAGATCTGGGCGATGAAGCTTTTATCGATAGCTTGCTTATCCCTGGCGGCAAAGATGGAAGAATGCAAGCCGCCATTTTTGTCGGAGTATCGATTCGAAGGTTACAGATTCAGCAACAAAGTGATACAGAGAATGGAACTTCTTGTCTTGGATGCATTGGAATGGAGACTGAACTCAGTCACTCCATTTACTTACCTTAGCTATTTTGCATCAAAATTTCACTTTGAGAACTGCTCGAGGAAGCTACTCCCCATTGCCATCAGATTCATCTTTGTAGTTGTAAAAGGTGCTGGATTCATTCTGTTCTTGTTTCTGATAGATTCTTGTCAATCAAAATGTGATTTTTATGCTCTTTTTATCGAAATGCAGCTATGAATTTGATTGATTACCGACCTTCAACCATAGCTGCCGCGGCTATCTTAGCTGCATCAGGTGAGGAATCAACAAAGAGGTTATTCGAATCTAATACTAATGTATTTTCACTCCCTGAACCTTCAGAAAGAGTAAGTTAAATACCCAGCGATCTCTGTTATTTTCTAAATAAACAAGCAGGCAAAGGAAATGATGGTGATAAAAAAAACAAATTTTCGATGCTAATTCATCTTTCAGGAGCATATATTTACCTGCTATAATGCAATGATTCGCGAGTCACAGAAGGAGAAAACGATATCTCAAAAGGTTTTATTTTCATTGGAAATATCATCAAATTGTGCTAATCTACCAAACTTAAATGAATTCATCGATATCAACAATTTATCTGCCACCAGCAACAAGAAGAAAAGACTGCAATCACCTCATGGTTAGTGGAGTAAGTAATTATCTTGGAATGAAAAAGAAGAACTTTCACTGTTTTAGTTTCACTGTATAAAAACGATGGGAGCGAAAGTGAAGCTTTTTTTATCGCAAAGTCTCAAAGCTGACAGTACGTTTGAAAAAGGATGATGAAGACAACGAAGAAACCATTGAAGAGTATTTACTAATAGGCTTGGAGCTTGAAAGCTAGGTTCTTTTGGTTCAAAGCCCTTGTCATTCCTAGATGTAAGCTTACCCGTTATTCATTTCATTGCATTCCTTCTTGTATTTTACCTGATGGAGTTTCATGTGTAAAGATGGCAATGGGGTGAAAGAGTAATGGGCTTGTTTTTGAATTGTAGCTCTATTTATGAGTAGCAGCTTTAAGAGTGTGGGGAAAAGAAGGTGAAATTGTGTGTAAATTGACTTGTTTGAATATTGGGAGACTGGGAGTGGATGAAGGTGCTTTTTTTTTAAATGATGAGATTTTCTTGCTCAATATATTATATAAGAAAAAAAAAACATTTTGATTACAAAATTTTAAGGCAACAGAATCATCAGATTCAAAGAATTCACTAAACAATGGCGCCCCAAGAAGATATGAGAATATACAAAAATAATAGGAAAAGGCTTGGGCAAATGAAGAACACCACCTTCCAAATGAAACAGAAAATCAGTCAGAGATTAAGGGTTCGTTTGGGACGGTTTTTTCATTGCTTCTTAAAGCAGTTTTTTAATACAAATTTTTTAATTTTTGTATTAGAAAGCTGTTTTAAGCAGCAACAAAAAAGTTATCACAAATAAAGTCTAAGAAGTAGATCAAAACAGGAACTCTTCACAATATGTTTAGTCATAAGATAAACATGAAATATTTTCTCATGGCCTTGGATTTTCATGTACGATTAATAGTCTGCAACATAATTAGAGAATTGGATGTCACTTGTTTAAATACTGCCATTACTCCCTCTTTTTATAATGAATCTTTACTTGCCAGAGCAGCATGTGGCTTTTAAGACTTTACTACAAACAGTGGAGATCCGAGAGGGAAGCGCAGTTTATCACTGAGTATAGGTCATCCATGACTCAAACTATATTAAAAAAAACAATGTAAAAAAACAAAGAACATGATAATAATAATAAAAAAAGACACACTATACTCCTTTGAACGTAAAAGTAAGCAGATTGTAAATAAAGACAAGATAAGAAAGCTAAGACGATTCAGCATATGGGCCAAAGAAGATCAGCGAGTATCAAAACAAAACGCTCAAGCTACCGGTGTGAATCCGCATTGTTGTACAAAGGAATTATCAAGTATTACTTGGGCAAAAAAAAAACCCCATGGCATAGAGAAATTTATATGCGGAGACCGGACGGCAATAACCGTCCGGATTTGCTGCATTTTAACTGCACTTTTGCAAATGCTCAGCAAAAGAGCAGCAAATATGCATTTTTGCTGAGTATTTGAAAAAGTACAGCAAAAGAGCAGCTAAAGCGCAACAAATATTCTACTAATTGAATATTTGTTGTGTTTTAACTATCATTTTGTTATGTTTTTGCAAATACTCAGCAAAAGTGCATTTATATTGCACATTTCGTGCTCTTTTGTTGAATATTTGCAAAAGCGCAACAAAAGGACAGCAAATCCGAATGATTCTCGCCGTCCATTCTCCACCCAGAATAATTTTTCCATGACATAGGCCTCCAAAGTGTGACTTTCCATATGATAGAAACACATCACAGCATAATCATCATCTTCCATGATCATTTAGCAGCAGTGAGAAAATAATACCAGCACAACCAAAATCAAACAATAGCCTTGCAGCCTTGAAGTAAGATAATCCCAAGAAGAGGAGCTCATAGAAACAAAATTTAAGCCATGAAGTTAAGGAGATGCAAGAGACCCGAACGGGGCTTCTATATCTAAATTTCGGCTTTCAACAACGTAACTAGTCCTCAAGATGTTGGTGGAAAGGTTGGCGCACTTGCGACCATATCTTCTATCATTTTTTTCTCTACAAATAATATAGATTTGATGTATTATCCATGTACTGCAAATGTTCTAACTTTTGTAGGAGAGAGGGCTGAGCAAAAATATTGCAATCCAGGCATAACTTGAGCAAAGCATAGGAGCAAGAGCAGGAGAAATAGAGATGATTGATGGATTCAACATCATCATTCCAATGCCGACACAAGCAGTTTTCAAGCCCCTACAAATGGATAATTATTATGTGCAGGCGCCGAACGCCGTCCGGAGACCAGTCAAAGTGCGCCACGTCACCCATGTGCTCGGTACTGCGGCTCGGTACAGATTACATGGCGCATTTTGATTGGTTTCCGGGCAGCAATCTGCATCCGGTCTCCACACACAATAATTTGTCGGGCAAATGAGAAGCCAAACATACATAGAGAACTTGGGTATATAATTTAATTGTCAAATGAATTTATGCCAAGAGATATTTAATCAGTTTTGTAAGCTTGCTAGATCAAAATAGTTTCACAACTTAGGAAAGAGGTTATGTACATATTATATCCACAAATTGAAATCAATTGAAGGTCTCCAAAAGGATGGCTTAAACCCATGCTGGCGAAATTCCCAGAAGAGCACAGTATGTCTTAAAAAAAAATAAAGAGGTTGCTTCCTTTGGAGACGAGAACTCTCTCTCCAAACAGTAATAGATTCAAAACAATTCAAAATTAGAAAAAAAAGTATTCAATTTACAAAAAGTCAAGGAAATGTTACCAAGGCACCTCATGCTTGACCAGGTCAACACAGCATCATTATTTGTGGTCTCTGTCAGAGATAATTCTCTAGGGAAAGAAACAGGGACCTGCATCCGGCCTCTTTTTGCTTATTTGCCTTCTTTCAACGAGTCTGGTTTAGGCTTTTATATACTCTACCTTCTGATTTTTAATGTTCATTTATAAACAAATCATGTCATGATTTCCATCTGTAGAAATATTCTCCCGAACGAACTTTGTGTAATGGCAGCTACAGTGCTTGGTAGGGGAATTGATGATAGGTTAGGAATTAACTAATCCATCAGCGAATTTGCAGAGGTTGAAGGAGGCCTTCCTCTTCTTCTCTCACACTGGGAAGTGAGGGCTCAACTTATTTTGAACAATACTGTAAATAATCTAAAGCTGGAAAAAATCCATCATAAGAATGGTTGAACTCCAGATCCCGGTATTGGGTACCCATATCCACATCCACCCACATACCCATCTATACCCAATGGGTATGAGTATGCCCATAACCTCGTGGGTAGGTATATATGGTTGAGTACTCAACATCGGGAGATAAACCGATTAACATTACTAATCATTGTATACTGTATATTACCGCAATCCTTGTTATGCAGTGCGCATCACTGAACGTTGCTGTGACCACAATAAATTGTGATATGCAGCTTGAAAGTTTGTAGTCAAAGCAAAGGGCAACAAGCCTCAAGGCCATCAGTTCGTGGCGGTCTGCTTTCAAAAAACATAGAAAGTGGGTGGGTATGTGTGGGTAAACATCCCGAAAGTCACCATGGGTGAACGTGGGTACCCCACGATCTCCATCTTTCATATATATATTTCATCTTCCATGTGAGCAAAATGAGCCACTTGACCTTGTTGAAAATAATATAATCCTAAATCTTGAGGATTATAAAATTTTGATTACAATAAATTAATTTAATTAAAACTTAAAATATCATCACATCAACCAAATTAATGGACTATTCATTATCAACAAAAATAAACCTCTTTGAAAACCGAAAACCTAATAAGGGAGCATAGCGAAATTTCAACAAGACGATATAAACCAAAATACAGAGTTGATAAGCTGATGAACCTGTTTAAAAAAGTGGCAGAAATGCTAAGAACTTAAATAATATTTATCCAGATTTTTTCAGCAGTTTTGCCTCATTGTACACATATTTCAAATTTTCAATGATTATGTAATATTACACAACTTTATCTTCTTAACAGAAAAAAGATGATCCTATATGCCATGATGATTACAGAGACATTTAAGCACAATTTAAAATGTTAGGTGCTGGAAAGAGAGTTTAACAAATAAAAGACAACAACAGTTGCATCAATATAAATTATTCAGCATCAGTGGAAACAATAAATCATGGACAGAATCAGAAAATATTGTACATTAAAAGACTTTAAAGCAGCTGCACACAAGCCATAATACATTTACAGAATCCACTAAAAAAAAAAAAAACTAGATGGGCTTCAGAAAAATACTTTCCCACCTCCTCTGTCAAATCAATCTGTTTACATATAAAGATACTTTACCAAATCCTGCAGCTGGCCTCAGAGTCCTTCAGCTACAATAATTGGTACTCCTCTCTGCCTTTGGCTGCAAGTACAAACCAAGGTCAAGTGGCTAAACGACCATACCATTAAGATGACATGGGAAAGAACTTTTAAAAGGCCATGAAAGGAAAATAAAATCTTCTACTTTACCAGATTTGCCGTCAACACAACTTCACTGCGATCCCACATGAACTTTTTTTACAGCAGCAGCAAATGGCATTCCAAGGAACCCAATGAAAACAGTTATGAGCCATTGTGTGAATGTCAGTGGTGTGGTATTGGCAAAATCGCCAAGGAATTGAACAATAATGAACTGAAAAATGAAAGTAAAGGAGAGGACACCAACGAAGACATAGTTCTTCAGAATGCCTTCAAAAACATTTATCTTCTCCATCTCCCTTGAACTGATCTCATTAAACAGCTGCAAAATATCAGATAAAACTATGCCTTTAGCCAACGACAAAACAATATGCTTAAAAGCTCCATTCAAAGCATTAAATCGAGTCTCACAATTTTTTAAACAAACACTAAAACAACCCTTTCTCCGCAATTTTGAAGATGCTAAACCAAAAGATTATAAAAAGGATTAAGTAAAATTAAGGTTGAAGGTAATGCAATAAGTATGTAAGGATTCTATGGCAAATTGGATCCAAGATCCCTTTTGAAGTGGCCCACTAATCCAATTAAAATAATAAAAAACATAACCCCCGCACACACAAATGACATTAAGATCAAACGTTGTTGAAATCAAATCTATTTGGTGGAAATTAGCTTAATCCTACTCCAATCTACTTAAAGGTGCCAAGAAAGATTCTTCTTTGTGAACAACTCGTATTCGGCTCGCTAAAGAGCTTGTACTTGATTTGTTCGATAAGTAATCAAGACAAATATGAACATATAATTTGAGATCGCTCTGTGAATGAGTCGAATAAGGCATATCATTATTTGATTGTGTCGAATAATTTTAGTATCGAAATTAAAAAGCAAACAAAAAATAACATTCATAATATATATAATATATTGTTGATTTTACTTTTTTTTGCATTATTTGTATTTTTAATATATAGTGATATTGACTTTTGTGCAGGCTGGTGAACATGTTAAAAAATATAAGTTTAATTTATTTAATCCCACATCATTTGAAAGTTGAGTTATACTGTTTATAAATAATTAATGACAAAAATCTATTACCTAGCTCAGTCCCCTGAGAGGCCAAGCTTATAACGATGAGCCATGTGAGAGCATTTTAATCGCATAAAAAAGATTTAACAAGTTTTGAGAAAAAATAACAAGATTATTATCCCTAGTTGTGAATTATAAATGCTTCTTTTATAAAAAAAATTAATATTCAAAATTTTTTAATCAATTCGAGTAAATTTTGAGTTGAACAAGCTCGATTACATGAAAATAAATCGAACAAACAAAACATTCACGATCAATTTCAAATCAACATAAAATCAAATGAACCAAAAACAAACAAGCACCCACCTTGCTCAAACTTGGCTCATTTACACCCCTAAGTCTATTAGGATCTCACTCATCAAAGGGCTCAAAGGGCAAGACTAAGTTTCATAATTCAAGATCAAGGGAAGAGAATCAAGTTTCTAATAATATTTTAATGAATTAAGTAAAAATCTCAAACAACATCACATTCAGACAAGTAGCCTACCAGATTACAATGAAATAAGATGGAAAATGAGAGAAAAATATCCCAAAGAAGATCCAAAAAAGAAAAAGAAAAAAAATCCTTGTGGTTGGAGACTTGACCTTATTATTAATAAGGGGTTATTAAGATCAATAATATATAGGCTAGATCATAAAAGAGAGCATTGTATTGCAAATAGGGCAGTCAGACAATTGGTGTGGTCAGCTATGTAGCTTTATTTGGATTTGGCACCTACTAGCAAGCGGGTTCACCTAAATGGATATCATTGTTTGGAGCAAGAACTTGATCACATTAGATAAGAGTACTTTGATAGATATCATAGATCGAGTAGCAGCAGTCAAAAATTACAAATCGAACATCATTGCACCTGCATAGGTGGTTGACTTAGCTTTGTCGATTATTCACTTAGTTCTCAATCATTTCTTGAGCAATTTGTAGCTAACTCCCTACTCAATGACCCTTGATGGCTGAATTAAGCCAATGAACCAGTTGGGTTAGGCTAAGCAAATCTAGGATAATAGACCTAACTTTAATGGTGACTCAGCCCCTCTAAATGAATAAAATTTGATCAATTTGGCCCAACCGATATGTGCATACAAATATATATAATAGGCTTCAAAGAAGTTTCAACAGATTGGATGCTATATCACGTCTGATGCCCCACATTGATTTGATTATACCTGTAAAAACTATAATCCCCAGTTCCCCACAGACCCAAGTGAATGAATCTTAAGGCCAAAGGTATTTTAACAAACTTGAAAGGATTTTATTGTAAATTGGATCCAAGATCAAGTTTAATTCCGCACATATAGTCTAATCATACTAGTAAAATATATTACATCTAATGCCCAAGTTGCCATGAAGTAGCTATGCAATGCTTAATTGATGAAATTGTTCCCTTTTCACGCAGGAAACACCAACACTCCCCATGGCATTCATCATGGCCTTTCCTATAATAGATTCTACGCTCCTACTCTTCCTCTAGCAACTCCGCTGCTAATGTTATCATTACAGGACTTGGGCTTCTCCTCTCTCTCTCTCCTCCATCATAGTGGAGGCCCCACAATCACCCATAAGCTTCCACCTAGTTCTCCAAATTATTAATTAATTTATTTATTTTCAGAAATTGTTCCCTGATTCCTCCTTCAATGACTACACCGTAAAAGCCTGCATAGATGTAATCCGTTTTCAGGAGGACGCCCAATTAGACTTGTGCTCGTAAGGCTAGATTGTATGATAACAGATCAACTCCCAATCAACCCCTCAGTCCCTCACTTGAATCAAACCCCATCACAGCATAATTATTCACGCAGTAAATACAACAACATCAAGCCTTTGTCCCAGTGTCCAGTTAAAAGTCATATTCTCATTTAAATCTAATAAAGAAAGATCATTTCTAATATTTTATAACTAATTCTTTTTAGGTCTACCTTAACCTTTCTTAACATAAGTCAAATCTAATACCTCAACTTTCCTAACATGGTATTATTCACTCAGTGAATGAATGAAAAAAAAAAAAGATGATTCCATGACCCATTTTCTCCATTTGCAGAATTAAAATAAAGAAGAAAAAAAAAATCATAAGAACACCAAACGCAGGAAAATTACCTGGCAAAAGACAAAAGTATTAAAGATGAGGGTATTCAGACTGGCATCAGAACCAGGGCCTTCAAGCCCAAAGAACCTTTTCCCCTCTGTTTGGAGATACCAAATCACAACAAACTGGTATAAAGCCTGTCCTAAGATATTTCTCCACATTACATTGCTAATAAAATTCCCTTTCCTCCCAACAGGTGTTCTTTTCATCAACTCATCATTAGGAGGTTCAGTGGCAAGCGCAAGTGCTCCCAGTGTATCCATAATCATGTTGACCCATAGCAATTGAACAGCAGTGAGTGGAGCTTCTCCTGGAATAGTATTTAAGCATAACGATCATAAGAATGATCTTCTAGGTAAAGAAAAAATTTGATTACAGGATGGTAATTTTGGTTACCAGTAAAACAAGCTGATGAGAAGTTAACAATTAGAGCAACAACATTAACAGTCAGCTGAAATTGTACAAACTTTTGAATGTTTATGTAAACAGAACGCCCCCATTTGCCCACAGTCACAATTGTGGAGAAATTGTCATCAAGAATTATGACATCAGCACTTTCCTTTGCGACCTGCATAGAGCAATGAACGAAATTTACCACTTATTTTTTAGTTAAGTGATAGAATTGACCAAGCAATTCAGGCTTCATTTGGGAGGGCTTTTTTACTACTTCTTAAAGCAGCTTTTTAGTATAATTTTTTTAATTTTGTACTAAAAAGCTGCTTTAAGAAGCAGTAAGAAATCCGTCCCAAATAAAGTCTCAATATATTTCACATTAGAAAGCGTATAAGGCATGCATTTCTATAGTATATTATCGGTAAATAGAATAACCATCATCATATTTAACTAAAGGGTGTAACATCAAGATAGTGGCTGTTTAGTATGCATATTCATGTTCTATATTTTGAATAAGAGTGTTCATTCTGACCTTGTTGGATATACATATATATATATATATATATATATATATATATATAAAGTGTAGCAAGTGCATAAGGCTCATGCTAATATGAGGTTCTAGGAATGGTGATCATCATATCTTCTAGTTCAAAATAAGGCTCCAATAGCACATCAAACATGACTTTCTGGCAACATTTAGATCAAAATCCACCTAGTTTCTTGGTAAGATTGCACAAGTAATACATTCAAGCTGCCGAACATCAATTATGATAATCATCATTTGCTTTATAAAAAAAAAAATTTTGGGTGTCACCCTTGTGAAATTAAATATAATGGATGGCAATAGTTGATCTTCACAAACTAAAAGAACTAATAGAGTGCATGAATTTGAAAAGTCAAATAAAAAATTTTCAGAATCAATTTATTCACAATTTTTTCCCTAACAAAAATAGCATCCATGAAAAATTATAGGACTCTAATCACTTTACTCAACATCCATATCCCGCAATCATCCACTCTTAGTGATTTCAGGATAAGAAAGATTATATATTAGAGCTATATTTTTAGTTTTGTCGTTGATGTTGCTGCTGTCTTGCTCTTGTAGCTGGAGTGAAGAAAGAAGAAGAATATATAGCAATATTTAAAATCCTTCAATTAAGCAAGGATATAAGAAAATTTAAAAAGTATTTAACCATACAACAATAAACTTTTATCACACCACGTGGAGTTGGCTACATTTCTTTTTCCCCTTTGTGTCCTATTCTCATTTAAATCTAATAAACAGAGGTCATTCTTCATACTTTCTAACCAAATTTTTTTAGGACTATCTCTATCTTTCTTAAAAAAATAATTAATCATAGAAATAGAAAAATAAATAAATAAAGAAAAATAAGCACCTCAGTTCCTGCAATTCCCATAGCAAGCCCAATATCTGCCTCATGAAGCGCTGGAGCATCATTTGTACCATCACCGGTCACAGCAACTACCTCATTTAACATGGTACGGAGGTGCTTCACTAGTGTATGCTTATCTAACGGTGATGATCTAGCCATAACCTGTGAAATATACATATTCAGTCGGGACCATTGCAAATTAAAAGCAGGGCAAAAAGCTATGATGCATAGACACGGACACGGCAACACGAATACGACACGACACGGACATGGAACACGTCAATTATTGAAAATATAGAACACGGATACGGGTTGGATACGGTATTATAGTTTTATATTTTAAAAATAATGTATAAAAATTGAATAAGTATAATTTTAAAAAAAATTTAGAAATAATAAGTTATTTAACCAAAATTTGTGCTTAAAATAATTAATATTAGGATGCCAAGAGTCAAGCGTCGATGCTGTTTATCAATCACCGAGAGAGATGACAATGTTGTTGAGAGTCGAGCATCGATGTTATGCAGTAAATATTATGCGTCAATGTTAAGAGGACGTTTATCGTCGTGTCGGACTCGTGTCGGTCTCGTGTCATGTCGAATAAGTGTCGGACACTGCACGCTCCTTTGAGGAGAAGTGCCGGTGCATGATGGGCAGAAACTAGAAAGTAATTAACAAATAAAAGATGGACCTGTATCTTTGGAATCAATTCCATCATCTCTTCAAGACTCTTTTCCCTAAATTCTGAACCTTCAATAGCTATACCATCATCTGTAAGAATACCACATTCTCGAGCAATGGCCTTTGCCGTATTGATGTTATCTCCTGTAACCATTCTTACTGTAATGCCAGCAGACCTGCAAACTGAAACAGATTCCTTGACACCAGGTCGAACAGGATCCTTGATGCCTACAATACCTATACACGTGTAACCATCTACAGGAATTTCTTGCTTGGCTGAAAAATCACCTTCAATGTCCATATAACCCAGACAAAGCGTACGTAATGCTTCTTTAGCAAAACCTTCAATCGTATCCTTGAGGTGCTTGGCTACTGCATCATCAACTGGAACCGCTCTTCCAGTTGCATCTAAAACTTTTCTACAAGAAGCCAAAACTATTTCAGATGCTCCTTTACAGTGGGCCGGATAACCTCCCTCAGGAAGTTGTATTACCACTGCCATTATCTTCTTTGTAGAATTGAAGGGTTCAACTTTAACAAGCTCAACCGCCTGACGCTCTTCATGAAAATCACCACCTAGAGACAAGCCAAATTCCAATATTGCCGTTTCAGTTGGTGTTCCTAAAATTTCAGTTTTTCTTTCTTTGTTGATCACAACTTCTCCTCCAGTGTTGGTGAATATAGACTGTGAAAGAATTTTAATCACATCATTTGGAACTTGAGAGCAAATGCTAGATGCATCCACTGGATTGGATAGTACATTGATATTTCCACCGATGCAGGCTTTAACAACGGTCATGTGGTTGGTTGTCAAAGTTCCTGTCTTGTCACTGCAAATAGACGTAGCTGATCCCATTGTTTCACAGGCAGCAAGGTGACGGACCAAGGCTTTCTCGTTCATCATTTTCTTCATAGCAAAGGCAAGGCTCAAGGTCACAGCTAGAGGCAGACCTTCCGGAACTGCAACAACAACAATAGTAATTGCAATGGCAAAATACTCTAACAAATGCAGTGCATCATCTCCTGTCCAACTCAATAGTGTGCCAGCTTTAACCTTATCCCTCATGAGAGATTCTGCCAGCACTGCAAAAGTTACAACTGCAAAGAGTAAGCCAATTTTTCCAATAAGAGTGGCAACTCCATTCAGCTTAACTTGTAATGGGGTTTCATCATATCCTCCTTCACTAAGTGTGGCCATCAGCTTACCCCATTGAGTTCTCATGCCAACAGTTGTCACCATCATTTTACATGAGCCATCTTGAACTTTAGTTCCAGATAGAAGAAAAGGATTTTCAGCATCAATTGCGACGGGCTCGCTTTCCCCTGTCAAACTAGATTCATCAATCAACAAGGAAAATCCAGATAGGAACAATCCATCTGCAGGGACTTGATCTCCAATTGCTAAATGGACAATATCACCAGGAAGAAGATCATAGATTGACATTTTCTGTCTAAACCCATTTCGTGTTACTTGTATCAATATTTTCTTCTTCTCCTTATCCAAGTCTTTAAACTGCAAAGATTGACGGTAATCACTTGATGCAGTAACAAAAACAACTAACAATATGCTTGCAACAATTCCAAGGCCATCATGAGCACCTTTTGGCCATCCTTCTGTGAGCACACCAACAATCAGAGAAATAAAGGCACAAGCACCAAGGATTATAAGCGTCATGTCTTGAAATGCTTCCCATAAAAATACCCAGAAACTCCGGATTACGCTCTCAGTAAATTTATTTATTCCATAAATCTCTTGCCTGCCCATCAAGCTTTCTTCGGTAGTGCACAGGCCACTAGCTGTTGAAGTTGATAATTTGTTTGCTATACCATCCACTCCACCATGTATTTTCAGCTTCTTGATGTCACGTCCTTCGACTATGGATCCCAATTCGTCGGCACAAATCCCAAAGCCAGCTGCCTTGACTTCATCAGGTATGGTATATTCACTTGAACATGTAATAACTGGAGAATTTGAGAAGGTTATGCCACTGAATGATCCAACGAAAATATAAAGATGACAGAAGTAATCAGTCAAGAAAAAGGATGCTGGAAATATACCACTGATAAAACAGAGGGCAGCTTTTGAAACTAATACAGCAACCCGAATTTTCTCCTGCACAAGGTAATATAATATCAGTATAATTTTCATTAAGGAAACTGATTCCGGCATATTACAGGAAGCAGTGGAGGTTAAGGCTTCATTTGGGACGGCTTTTTTACTGCTTCTTAAAACAGTTTTCTAGTACAAAAGTTAAAATTTTAGCACTCAAAAGCTGCTTTAAAAAGCAGTAAAAAAACCGTCCCAAACGAAGCCTAATCAAGATATAAGTTTCCCCTGAAAACTGCAGGCAACCAAGAAGCAGAAATTGAAGTTTGAAATTTCTGTAACTAAGGTGCAAGATAGCTTCATACTATATAAAAAAAAAAGATTCTAAAGCTTTTCTATAGCAGAACTTTGATTTACTAAAGCCTTATTTTGTTTAAGAAATTACGAGAGATGAAATGAGAAGTACATGGAATTCAAATGCTAAAAAAAGAAATTTAACTAAAATTAGTTAATTAGATTTCACCACCTTGTTTAGCAGATGAGAAATTGAACAAGAGAATTTTTTCCACTTTATTGTTCAGTTAACAAGAATTTAACTATTATTTCTTATGAGGGAACAAATGAGCCACACTGATAATCAGATAAATTTTTCTTCTCGTTTTTACTAAGTTTGGGTAGTGTGAATGACAGAAACTCATTAATAGTTAAGGAGGCGCAACAGGTCCAACAACAACAAAAACAACAACATCAAGCCTTTATCCCACTACGTGGGGTTGACTACATGAATTCTTTTTATCTATTGTGTCGTATTAATTAACACAATTTCTTAAAGGATTCATGTTATTATTATTCGACAAGTTTTACACCGGCTGTCGACAACCTAATGCAACCCTCCATTTTTCTCATCCAGAACTTGGGACCTGGCAACGGCAGGAGGCGCCACAGGTCCGTGGGAGGGAAAAGATGGAGAGGGTCTAGCTTTCGACCCAAGGTGCTTCGTGGCTCAGGAAAGTGAGGAGAAGAAAGGAGGGCTAGTTGGCTCAACTTTGAAGGCCAACAAAGGAGGGCTATTTGGTTCAACTTTGTATGCCAAGAAAGGAGGCTGGCATCTTTAAGAAGTGAGGAGAGGAATAATAAAGCATTCACAACACAAATAGTTTATGAGATTCAATTCTGTACTCTATGTCCATGGTGCATGGAGTGGAGAAATCCACCATCAAATGGGGAATATAATATATAATGCAAGGGAAGTTCAAGATCCTACCTATACAAATTTGGGGGCAATGAGCTTTTATAAGGTGGGCTCTCATTAGCTACCAAAGGAGTCATTATAATCTCCTGAGAGCAACACACACACTTTCTTCTCTTAGCAACAAACAATTATATTTGTAGGATATGTGGCACTTCACAATTGAAGGTTAAATGAGATATGTTATGGCAAATCTGATAATGGGTGGAACGTGCTCTAAATAAACTACTAGTGAGTGGCATAGTGTCAAAGGCCTGATGTAAACATTTTATACCAGTTGACACAAGTTGATTGGTAGGGTACCTGGGGGAGCTATTGGATGTAGAGCGGACAGACATAGCTAGAGATGCTATTTGGGAGCTAAGAGATGGGCTATTGTGTTATCCACAATGAAGCCAGTTAGCACGGACATTGGAGAAGTCAATAAAGAAACCATGGAATGTTTTTTAGGAGAATGCATGTGATATGTTGTACTTTTATCTATGATCAATCAGTTAGAACCAACAAAAAGATATTCAAATTCCATTTCAAATGTGCAAACAAGGCAAGAACTTCACTATAAACTAAAGCGACGCTAGATATGAACCTCCAAGCTTGGAATTTCTCTTGCACGCCCAAGCACTCAAGCCTCGATCTCCCATAGGGGTGTAAGTGAGCCGAGCCGGCTCGAGCTAGACTTGTTTATGAGCTCGCAAGCCGAGTTTATCGAGCTCACGAGTCAAGCTCGAGCTCGATTTCAAGCTTGAGCCGGCTCAGCTCGTGAGCTTGCGAGCCGGCTCGATTAAATATTAATATTTTTTAAATATTTTTATTTTATTTATGAAATTTAAATATTAAAAAATTAATAAGAACCACCTAAATTTTATTTAAATGTTAAACATTTCATCTTTTTTTTTCTAAATTTTGCCTAAGTTTTAAAAATCTCGTTTAAGTTTTAAAAATACCGCCTAAGTTTTAAAAATGCAGCCTAAATTTTAAAAATCCAACCCATGGCTCGCGAGTCGGCTCGAGTTCGTTTACAGTGTGACGAGCTCGAGTTCAAGCTCGCCTGTCGATCTCAGCTCGAGCTCGAGGTCGAGCTCACTTTCTGACTGACGAACCTAGCTCGATAAGGCCTAAACTCGACTCGTTTACACCCCTGATCTCCCATAACAATCTCTTTTCAACATAAAGCCTTTCAAATAAATGAATCATATGCTCAACCAAGGAATTTGAGCTCACAACCTTATCAAAACCCAACCCTATCAAAACCCAACCCAAACTTAATAGGCTCAAACTGGGCTATCAAACGACTCGCTCAATCACTAAGCATACATATAAAATATATTTATATGTATATATAATAATTGTCCAAACTACATACATATAAAATAAATACATTTCAATCCATTTAATGATAATTTTTATTATTTTGCAAATAATAATAATAATAATAAATATTATTAAAAGAGAGAATCTAAATAAATTATTTTAAAAACTACTAATTAGTCTTTGGCTTTTTCACATTTTTGTAATTCCCATCATCATTATTTCTCTTAATCTATGGCATCTGTGTATGATAGGCACATATATTATTTATTTATCATTTTTTAAAAGAAAATGTTACGGCATGTCTGATATGTGCAAGACTTGTCATACTTTGCATAAGTCTGATATAAGACACTTTGACATTATAAAGAGTCAGTGCATCATAGTAAAAAAATGAAAGATGCGTACCATATAGCAACTTCATTTTCCCAAAACTTTAATGACTTTTTCCGAAACCTTAATAGATATTAAAGTCCAATTATGAGCATCACAATAAATACAAAACATTAATGCAAAAATTGGCAGAAGCTATGGGCAAAAAATATAGAGCCAAATAACAAAACAAAAATTATATTAGTAGGTCCAAACGAGAAAAAAATATCATGATCTGTTTAAATTTAAGTCACGTGCCTGAAAATAAAAAATTGAAAGACACTTTATTAGAGACTAGAAAATAGATTAAGATTTATGAAAGACATTTTTGAATTTAAGAAATTTGAGGGAGAATTATTTTTTAATTTGTGGAAACGTGAAGCTAGTATCAAATTTAAGAGAAATTATTTTGTACGGAGACCGGAAAGCAAGAACCATCCGGATTTGCTGCACTTTATCTGCTCTTTTGCTGTGCCTTTGCAAATACTCAGTATGCTTTTGCTACCCTTTTGTTGAATATTTGCAAAAGCGCAGCAAAAGGATAGCTAAAGCGCAACAAATCCAGACGATTCTCGTAGTCTGATCTCCGCACAAAATAATTTCTCCAAACTTAAAAAATTGTGATATGTTTCCAACCAAGACTACTCGATACATTTTTTTTTTTTCATCCAAAAGCCACTGAAAGGATGGCATAATAAACGCTTCACGATGAAACTTCACTTCTTCTCTATTCAAATTAGAACTTTTAGCCAATTTAAAATTTT